GACTCTTGGAAATCCAGTATATGAAGAATTATCAGTTTTATTCTGTGTTCAGAGATAAATTATTAGTCACTGATAGTTCGCCTTGCTGTCCCCACTGTTGAGAATAAGATCTATGTAGCTGCCAATTGGGTCACCTTATTCTGAAGAGAGGAATTGTTTTGAAAGCCACAAATTGTTGTGTGCTGTGCAGTAGTAGGGATAACTTTGAGAAACAATGCTGTGATAGCTTACAGTGAAGTTAAAAAGAATAATTTAACTTACAATAATGTGCTACATAGGATTATGCCTGGCTTTCCATGCAGTGAACACCCATCCCCTGAGTGTGGAGGTCCTGATGTGAGGAAGACGATGTCAGAACTACATGACAAACACTTCATTGTAATCTCTTTGGCGGCTGACTCCTGGTATGGCTCACTGATAAATACTCACATACCTGGACACGTTCCTGCACAGCAACTATGAGGAAGTTTAATTTTTTTCCTTGGGAAGCTAAAAATAGAGTACTTCATCTTCCTTTGTGCATGGCAGGGATTTTAGTGTCGGCAACGCTGGATTTTTGTGTTGTGGCGTAAGTCTGTTCAATCTGTGGTTTTGCTCTTGCTTTTGACAGCTTAATATTTGTAAAGCATGAGCTCACTTTCAAGGCAACATCTTGCCATACCTTGGGGTTTGGCTGGGACAACCCAAGTCGCTTCCCTTCTGCCTGCCTGCCCTTCCCTCAGAAGCTGCTGGCTCTGATGGCAGGAAGCCTGCAAGTCCTTCTGAACAGCTTGTGGTGAGTGTGACACAGCTGTTGGAAGCCACTTGTGTGCACAGACATGCTGGGAAGGAGGAACCTCTTCTGTGGCACGGGCACTTCTGGTTGAGCCCGATGAGTGGCTGCAGTAATCCAGTCTGTTTCTTTTGGCAATACTGGCACTGTTTTGGCCTTGGAGCTGATACAGGCAACTAGACAGATGGGTGCTGAATTGAATGCTAGAGGGGCAAGAAAGAAATGCTTGGAATAGGTACATGAATGACTGAAAGTCAGGTACTTTCAGGTGCTGGATGCAAGGAAAAAAAATGGCAGAGGATCCCACAGCTACAAAGAAGGAGAAGAAAGATGCAATGTTGGTTTCAATTGCAGCTTAATTCTTCAGTCTCTCCTTAGTATATGACTAGGGCTGCGTATGGGGGAGACATTACAACACTTGAGGAGAAAAGGAAGTGTCAGTTTCAAGCTAACTCTTCTGTCAGCCATGCTGAAACTACCAGCGCTCGCTCCCTGCTAGCTGTTACGGTGTGCATAAGCCAGCAGAAGTATGCCAGCTTCCACCTCCATCTCCCCAGCACCCAGCCATTGAGCAGTGCTGCGCCAGATGAGTGGCAGGGCTGGGAGCTCCCATTTTCACAATGCTGAAACCGCTTGGCTGGGGCACTGCCAGGGCCTGGAGCTGTGAGCGGGGTGCAGCCGCCTGTCCCCGAGCCGCCTCTGCTCTCTGTTTTCTGTTGTTTGCTCCTGGCTGCCTCAATCTGAGCGATGAGCTGATGTGGCAAGGGCCAGGCTTTTGGAAATGGGCCTAGAGTCTGTAGGCTGGTAGTTGTGAGCTCGAGGTGGATATCAGGTGCTTTGAGGAGCCTTTTCCACCCTGGTATGGTGGATTCAGGAATTAGCTTGTATCTTGTTCTTACCCTTGGATTTGAAGTAAATGTCTTGGAGCACTTTTGACTGTAGGAATGTTCGGCTGGTAATTTAATGTCTTAATGCAAAGCAGAACTGAAATCAGCAAAGTTCAAAAGGCGTAGGGTGGCATGCTTTTGTAAGCCACAGCTAGTGAATTTTGGGGTGAACGTTTTGTGTAGTTTGTGTAGAACGTTGTGTGTAGTGAAGTGAACGTTTTTAAAGCTAGAGTGAATTTGGGGTCAACATTTTGGTTTTGGCTTGCGTACCTGATGTTGCATTTGTTTCAAGTGTGTTGGCAATATCTGTATGTCAGTATCTGTAGATTTTTATTAGAAGTGAGAGCAAAGGTAGGACTGCACATTTTTTTTAACAGTTCTAAATGAAGCTGAGCTCTGTTAAATCCCGAGTCTCCCTGTTTTCTTCCGTAGCCCACTCAGAAAATTAACGTGAGCCAGCTAACACCACTGAAACAAATCAAGGAATATCAGTGGATTAAATTCCAGTCTGCTCCACATACAGTAACTAAGCATACAACTTGGGCTGTACCGCGGACTGAAGTGCAGATTAGTTTTCTGCCTTTCAGCCCGTTTCTTCGTTTAAATAAGGAAAATGCTTTAAAACTCTGCTAACTTGTTCTCTGCATTAGCATAATCTCTGCTTTTAGAGTTTCCACTGACAGTGTTTTCTAACCATTGTCAAGGCCTTTATGCAGACTGGAATTCTTGCAGTAAGATCTGCTCTCTTTGCTTGGCTGCTGCGGCATCTTTTTCCTATGGATGAAGTTAGAAAGCAGAAAGTTATTGTAGCAGGATGTGAACCTCTTGCATCTGTTGCAGCTAGCTTAGGACTTCATAAGCTGTTACAAAGTATCAATTACTTTTTAAAACAGAAGGAACCGTGTGAAGAATTGCAGTCTTAGAACTTTCGATGGCTCAGGCTGCCACCGTGTGGTAATTGGAGTACATGTATTGCAGGAGCAGAAAGCGCAGCACGCAGCATGTGTGTAATTTAACTGCTGCTTTTAAGGTTTTGCTCAGCGATTCTGCATAAATTTAAAGGTGTGTTGTGTCCTCCTTCAAGCAAAATCCTTTTCCTAAGAACTTTGAGGCTTCAGCTTTCTGCTGGTTTGTCTATGCTGTCAAAACAGAAAACATTCAGCCTAAGTTGGTATGTATGAAGGTGAGGGGCTTTGGGGGTGGCAGGTGGGTAAGATGGCTGTTATTTTGCCACCGTTTCAAGCATTCTGACTCCTGTTGGCATTTGACAAGGCTTAGTACAAATGTTTCTGCGGGACTCTTACGTACCATTAACTCACTTTTAACTTAGAAGTTCAAACAACAGTTAAACATCCGTGTTCGCTAACTAAGTGAAGCACAGCTTTCCAGAGATAAACAGAAAATGGAGGTGACACACAGTGATACCTATTCAGTATAGTGATGATTTTCAGAAAGCCTTCCTGCTCGTTAATGCTGCAAGCTGAATGGGAGAGTAGAGTACCTACTGTTCGTGTATGAAAATACAGCCAATGCTCTTGGCTGGCTCTGCTGTGGGTTTTTTTGTTTTGTTTTTCAATTAGGGGAATTTAGTGACTGGATTGATACTGGAATTGGTCACTCAAATGTCAGTGAACACTCGTGGTGCTAGAGGGAGCTATTTGCTGTCGAACACCCTCTGGAGAGAGACTGCAGCACTTGTGAGGAGCAGCTGATCTGGCACTGCTGCACATCAGCTGCAGTGCGATAATGCCAGTGTGCTTTGACAAGAAGGCAAGATGTCTGTGGACTCTTTTGACTGCGTGCTTCCACTTGAGATCTGTGGATTCCCTGAAGTCAGAGTCTCTAGTGGTTCTTCAGTTACTCTGTGAATCATTCCCTGCATATTAAATCCATGCCACTCGAGGGAAACCACAGTGCTAGCCCTGATGGCAAAGGGTTAGAGAAGAACTCTTGTGCCTGCCCGTTGCAGGCAGTTCAGAATTAAAGCCTTCTGACCAGGCTCGTGCCCATGGTGATGGGTTATGCGGAGATGCGATCTCCTTTCAGCTCCCCACAGTGAGTGCAGGCCCCCAGATGAACCTCTGCTTCACCCCAAGTCTGTCTGCAAGTGAGCAGCAGACATGAGCTTTTACATCCTTTCATTAGTATAAAAAGAAAAAGAAAAAAAACCCTGCAAGTGACTGCTATATTTTGTTCCCAAAGCTGTAATGTGCAAGGTCCCTTCGTTCCAATCCATAGTGTTTTTTGTCCTTGATGCATCCTCTGCTCCTCGGGCAGAATGGCGAGGCCGGACTCTTTTCAGTGGTGAGTGGAGACAGGACAAGGGGAAACGGCTGGAAACTGCAGCATAGGAAGTTCCGCACAAACATGCGCAAGAACTTCTTTACAGTGAGGTGACGGAGCACTGGAACAGGCTGCCCAGGGAGGTGGGGGAGTCTCCTTCTCTGGAGATGTTCAAGACCTGCCTGGATGCCGACCTGTGCGACCTGCTGTAGGGAACTGCTTTGGCAGGGGGGTTGGACTCGATGATCTCTGGAGGTCCCTTCCAACCCCTACAATTCTGTGATTCTGTGATTCTGTGTGATTCTGTGACCAGAACAGCAGAATTTTGAGTTGGCTTACCTGTGTGTTCCACTTTATCAAACTATTTACTTCTTTTTTTTCATTGTGTGTGTGGGGGGAAAGACTTCCTTTTAGGTACGTTTATTTAGTCTCAAGCACTCACTGCACCTCCTCACATCTTTTCTGACCAGTAGTGTGATTTCAGTGCAATTACCCTTGTGTAATAATACATTCAACTAGAACAACTTGTTGGGGTTGGACTAGATATCTCTAGAGGTCTCTTCCAACCCCTACAGTTCTGTTATTCTGTGGTCATTTTAACTTTTCTCACTGTAATTTCTCTTTGAGAAGTTAATCTACGTTGGGTAATTCTGGCTCACTGTTTTGTGCCTTTTTTCCACTGCATGCAGAAGGACTGTTTTTCCTGTTACATTTCTTTATGGAGTAAGCAAAGGGTTTTGGGTGCGCAGCCATTGAGAAGCAGGACAGTTGCAAATTAGCTCCATAGAATTCTGGACCAGCTTGCTTACTGAGCAAAAGCATAAAGGTTTTCTGTCTTTGAATTTTATGATGTGGGCATATTATAATACTTTCCTGTGCCAGTTTCCAAAGGGGAATCAAAGGTTTTCATGAAGCTTCTCCTTAGTTGCCTGTAAACGTGTTATTTCCAGTATTCCCGCGGCCTGGAATAGGAGAGCTCTGAATGAATTATGAAAGCAGTATTTTAACAGCTTGTACCTAATTGAGAATCCTAATTGTGTTTTTCATCTGCTTTGTAGGATTTGGAGATTGTGTATTCGTATTTACATGGAATGGAAGCCTTGTCTAATCTGAGAGAACATCAGCTAAGGTATGATGCTGTATAGATACTTCTGTTTGTGTGTGGAGAAAAGTTTTATAAACATCTGCATTTCTTACAGACTTGTTAATCTTCTGTTAAAAGTATTTTTTATATAAAGCATAGAAATAATATTTTAAACGTCTCTTGCGCTTGACCTCACATCAGAAAAGGTCCAAGGAGTTTGCTGAAGAAGTTCTGCTGCCAGCATTTTTATTATGCATATGTTTTATTAAAATGGAATTTCATGCTTTATGTGAAGGAGTTCATAACTTTTATCACTTTTTTTTTACACAAGCTTTGAACTTTCACAGGAAGAGATATCATCAAAGTTAGATATTGTCAGGATAGTTACAGTGTTTCTACTTGAGAACGTTTTCAGCTAACTGTAGATTTGTCTATGTTTTGAACGCTTCTGTCTGAAACTACTTCTGTCCTGGGTACGAGCCCAGCCTTGAACACGTTCAGAAGGGCCAACCAGAAATAATTTTGAACTGCTTCTGAGCGTGGAGTGCTGTGCTATTCCCTCTTCTCTGCTCTCCATTGAATAATAGAAGGGTCTACTGAAATCCATTACATCCTTCAGTCTCTAAATCTTACGTCATCTTGAGTGTCTGGACAGCCAAAAGTTTGGACTGGAGGCATAAGCTCTGCTTAGGCAGTTTTATTGGCAGACTTGCTGCTGTGGTTATCCATGTTTCTATATGAGATTTCAAACTGGAAAATTACCAATAGAGAAGCAAATAGAGGAGAGAGGTACGATAGTCTGGAAGGGTGTAAAGGGAGAGGTACTGTGGAGTAAAGAGGCTAGTCTTCTCCCTGCAATGGAAAGAGCAGAGTTGGGCTAAAGACAAGTGCAATTTGCCTGTTACCAGAAAACTGAATTTTGCTACTGTTCTGGCAATGGTTTCTACACTTTTTCTCTATATCTTCTTGCATAATCTTCATTCTTAGCTATTTAAAGGAAAGTGTTTGTATGGGAACTACTGAGTCACGGCCTGAACCTCTGATTGATCACCTGAGGCGAGCCATGAGTCAGCCAGAGGAGCATAGGTGAAGGCAATTCAGCTGTGCTGCTCTAGACCTATTTAAGAGCTGGCTACCAGTGGGGAAGGATCTCTTCTGGAGATCTGCTCTACTGGTGTTTTGTGAGTGAGCCCAGGATAGGGGTAAGCCTTCTATTCATCCTGTTTTTTGTTATTGTAGTCTCCTTTGCCTAACTCTCTTGTTTGTTTTGTGATTATGACATCCTAATATTCTTTGATTACACAGCGTTTAACAATCTTTTTGTTTTCATTGAGGATTAAATGTAAAGTGGAGTACTTTACAGTAAGGTACTCCATGAATGCTTGATGGCGAGTGCAGCAATGTTATTTAGAAAATAAAACTTTGATTAAAACAAGTATAAAGATATTGCTTTCTTTGGCCATACAATTAAGTTTCTTCTAGGAAAAGCTATTAAACTCTCAAGAAAAGAAGTGAAGATTGGAAGTTATATGCCACAATTGTACTAACAGCTTTTTTATGTATAATCAATTTTATTTCATTATTTCTGAAATATTTAAGGTAATAAAATAACGTAGATTAATGCACTAATAAAAGAAATGAACAGAATGTTTATTAACTATACATGCCTGTTGTGTACCATACCTTGCATTCCAAAGCTCGCTGCATATATTTATTCAATTATTTATTGTCTTAACAATTTCTTTGTGGACTTGTTATTGTTTATATACCTGCATGCTGCTTTTGCTTTACATGTTTTTTACATTATGGTTTTGTTCTTCTTGTTTAAGCTTTCAGGCTGGAAGTAAATGCATTACATACAGTGTGCAGGTTCCAGTCCTGAACAAAAGTCGGTACACGGTCCATTTCTAGGATGTAATAATCACAAAAGCAGCTTGTTATTTGGGTTCTGTTTCAGTTTGTGCTTGCTTTTGTGCTGAACTTTAGGCAGGTTGTGCTATGCAAATGGTACTTAGTCATAGACTACTAATAAATGTAATTGGATTTGCCTCATAAAGCATCCTAATAAAGTAATAAAAACATTCCAGATAAACTTTATATTTTTTTTAAAAGACTTGTTTATTTGATTTTAAGTCAGTGCTCCAGTTGTCTTCACACAAACATCTTACTACCAACTGAGGCTTTTAAGGGTGTTTGAACAGCATCATTTTGCAGATATTGGACAAAAAAAAAAAAGACCATCATATGTCCCGTATGTTCTATAAAGGAAGAAGTTAAGTCGCTGTATTGCATCATGAGGCTTGTCAGCTTTTGCCACACCTGAAGATGCTGGAGGAACTCTGATTAATGCTGTTATAATTTCTGGTTTCCTTCTTCAACATTCTGTCAGAGTCTGCATTCCCAAGCCAGTGTTCTGTAATTGTGAGAAAATAGAAGTGGGATTTTCTTTCTCCCAGTCTGCGTTTTGTACTGTGATTGTTGACTTCAAAGTAGATGTGTAATTACTTTTACTCTGGAAGCATTCCACAATCACATTCAGTAAAGTTTTTCGTGTTTTGCTGTTATATGCAAGTCTTTTAGAATATCAAGTTTTGCAGACCTGGAGTTGAAGTGATGTTGTTTATAGAGATCAAAGTGTTCACATGTGGTTGCATGGTGCGTTGATTTGTGCTTTTTGGCTCCCTGTGCCAAATGAGGTTCTTGCTTAGGAATGTGTGGAACTTGAGCTAGCTCTCCCAGCACAGTGCATTCCTAGAAGAGAGTTTCTGTTTATAGTTCCATACATGGCAAAGGCTGGAATCTCTGCAGATGTGGGACAAAAAACTTTTATAGCATCCTTTATAATGCAGCATTTATTGCGGCTGTGGAATACCGCAGGAACTTGAGATGAATTGAAGTATTAGTATTAAATACAGCCAATATATATTTATGCTGTTTTAATATATATATATATAATTTTATATAGCTAAATATAGCTATAAATATTGCTTATAGTTTTCTGATGATCTCATCTTGGATTTATTAAGTGTATTCAGGAATTGAACTGGAACACATTTGAGTGAAAATTAAACAGCCTTGACAAGATCTAAGTACATTCTCTAAATATTTGAGGAATTGGTCTAGGTTTTGAAATTCTGCAACTGGAACTTCTAATTGTTTCAGTTTAGCTCAAGAATTTAAGCACTCATCCACCTTCTGCGTTGCCATCGTAATAATGGTTCCCAAGGACTGTGAAACTGAAGAGAGCCAGTCATGAGCTTGCGTGACTTTGTCAAGAATGTACTTCCTTTCCCTCAAATTCACATGGGAACAAAACTTGCTTGTTAAAGGGATTCTGTTTCCTGTAACTGCTACTCCTGAATGGCGTGTTGCCCACAAGCTTTTCAAACCAGCAGTTAGTATGTTCCTTAAGCAGTATTCTCTTTTTAAAATCTGATAGCTAGCAATGACTTCCCATTTATTTTCTTCTGATCTATCTCCTCTAACCTCATGTCTGTTCTTCATGTCCCTCTCAAAGCAGAGGACCCAAGATAGAATGCAATGGACCCAGTGGTGGAAGCAGACAGTAGCAATTTGGTGTCTGTATGGTCTCAGCAAGACTTCATTCTAAGGGTGGGAACTGGTGTTTGGAAAAGAGGAAGCCCTGTGGTTTAGAAGCTTCTTGCTGTGCAAGGAAGACAGAAGTTATTTTCTTTAGCAGAAATTTTGTATACAGTACGTAAGACTTGCAAACAATTCACGCTCTGTTTATAAATAAGTTATCAGAGATCTCTGGGTGAAGGGTCATAATAATAAAACTCTGAGCAAACAGAATTAAGTTCCCAATTCTTCTCTACAGAAAGTTTGAATGTTAAGGTACCCCTTTAAGCCTGCCATTTATGGACAGAAAAAGCATTATTTCTTAGTGAGCAGGTCTAACGAGTGAAATCTTGAAAGAGATGAGGATGAAGATGACTTTTCTAGTAATCTACTGGCTGTTGAAATGAAGGAATTGAGAAGTTGTGAGGAATGATAACAAGGAGCTTTCAAATGTCACACCAAACTCAGAGCAACTCTTCAAAGCCTCAGATCAACTTCTTTGAGACTTTGTTGCCTGAACAAGAGGCCGTGAGCTGTGAGCAGTAGCTGGTCATTGGTACGCTGAGGTTCTTAAGGAGTGAGAATTTCTTTCCTAAATCTCAATATAGTCCCTCGTTTGAATATCCACATGAGCCTCTTAAGCAAATCTCTATATGATGATCTGTCAAAGTGTCTGGGTGTTTGTAGTTTATTTCAGTGCCCAGGATGTTCAAGGGAGGTGGTGGGCTTTATTTCCTTCCCACCTGCAGTGATTTGCTGAACCCATTTCCTCCAGGCAATAGACAGAAGTGGTGTATTCCATCCCTCCTCTCTCTGCTAAGTTAACATTGTGTTTCCTAATATGTGTTAAATTCTGTTATGGTTGCTGTCTGTTACAAACGTTCATTCTGCCTGACGAATGTGGTAAAAGTGTTTTAATCCTCCTTTCTAGACGGGATTTTCCTGCAGGAAGTTCTCTTCATGTTGAGCCCTCCGGGATTTCAGCATTAAAATCTCCAGGCAATTTTTAAGTTGCTGAATTGCAGCGAAATGAGAAGCAGTGACATACCGTGCAGTATCAGTTCTCATATTGTCTCCTGGACAGTAACGAGAAATGTGATTTTCAGTTAAAAACAACAACAAGAACAATAACAAACCCAAACAGTTTTTGTATCATGGCATCTGTGTTACGTACTGTGAATTTCTACCAACTACTAAAATTGTGCATTGTTTCTTCATAAATCAACTTACTTTTATCAAATAACCTTATAGAACGAGATCACCATCGTTGTGCAGATTTTTTTTCATGGCAGCAATTATGTGTCACGTCCTGAGTCAGATCTGATCTTGGATAAGCTAATAACTTTAATGGATAGACTTAATAACAACTTACTTTCCTGAATTAAGAATCGTCTTAGCTTTAAATTGATGGTTAGCTTCTGTAAGAGCTGGAGGCAAATGTGAAAATGCTGGCTGAGTTCAGGAAGTGAAGTCCTGTGATGCTGATATAAATTGTAATTAAAAATGACTTCTTTCTCTTTCAGGCTGATGTGTGAAACTGTTCGATATGAAAGGCATGAAGCAAATGAAGTTCTGTACTAGTAAGTGTTTCTCCTTGCTTTCGTGTGATGTTAGTTCTAATTACATTCTGTATGATTAGATGTATTAACATTCCATATTCATTCTGGAGCGCGTTAAGGATGGTGTTTAATGCCAGCTCCCTCACCCAGAGTAGAGTCTGCAAACATAAATAGGCCACTTCATTGTGATCAAACAGTTTAGGAATTTACTTGTGATTGGGGGAGGGCTAATAATGACTCTCGCTTGGTGAAATATATTACATTAATTTTTGTAACCCATGAGATTGTATAGAATTAAGGGATCTTGGATGCCATTTCATTAGAGTAAGATGTCATTTGCTTTCACATCAGTTTTGTTGAAGCAGTAGCGACTAGCTGCTTGTGCCAGAGATGCCAAATCAATAAATCTAACATGGTTTATAATTAGCAGGGATGTGATCTAACATCGTATCAGATTTACAATATGTATCTGAGAGCTGCAGTTTCTTCATTCACAGCAGCTTACTGAAACAATTGTATCAGATTTTGACTCGGAGTAGCTAATCTAGGCTCTAAATGGAGACTTGCTGGGTTGTCTGATACCTTCTGAACGTTCGTGCAGGCAAAGAAACGTACCTGCATGCCTTCTTTTATGCATGTGTATTTTTCCTACGTTGACCGCCGTGAAGTGAAGTTGATTGAGCAAGTTTTAGTGCTGAGCTGTAGCTGTTCTGCAAGGTTGAATTAATGTCAACTGAAACATAGTAATTGGTTATACATGGAAAATGCTCAAGGTCAGAATCCATTGGTGGGTAAATTATTCTGTAATCAGACCAATATAATCTTTGTAAATTAATTTCACAAATTAATTTGGTAGAGACCGTTTGTACTGGTTGCTCTGTCCTTGTATGGGCGGCTGGGTTTTGTCTCTTATATGTTGTGAAGTGTTCAGACTCAAATGGCTAATTCTAACTGCTGGTTTAAATCTGAATTATACAATTAGGGCTGCTGCTTATATCAAAGCAGGCAAAAGCAACAAGGAAATACGTGTCTAAGAAAACATAATCTGCAAACAGAAAGCCGTGAAACCTGGGATAACTTGAAGTGCTTTTTGCCATTCTTTTGCGCTGATTTACCTTGTCACTGCTTCTGTGTGACCTCACTTTGGTTGTTTCTTTTTTTTTTGCCTGTCGTTCCTATTTACTTACTTCTTGACATTTGTTTCCCCATGATTTATTCAGTAGATTTAATTGGCAGTTTTGCAGTTCCTGGGTTTAGATGCTGATGGGAAGCGTGCTTACTCTCTAGCATTTCACATCACTGATTTTCTTGTTTAACTGTCTAAACTTGATAGATAAGACTGAAAGATTGTATCAAAATTCTTCAGTGTTTTGAAGCTGTGTGTGTATTTATGCACACTTGTACAAGTGTGTGTGCATATATCTAGTGTCATCTGAGTTGTTCTGTATTTTATTTTAATGGGCCATTTGAGATCTATTTAGTGGGGAAAATAACTTGGAACTTGCAAGCAAGTTCCAATATATATTTTTAGCACAGTAAACGTGGAGAAATATGTTTTTGTGTCGTTAATTCAACATATACACAGGGAGATACAGTCTTCTAAGCAGAAATCCAACTTCATAATGTACACATCTTGAAGAATTAGAGTACTGCAGGAGGTGAGCAATGTGATATGGTAGATACTAGAGTCGATGCACTTGGTTATAAGCTCTAGGAGATGGACTTGGAGCACACAGCCTGGTCATTAGCATTGAACAGGCCTGAGCTCTTTACTCAGAGTTCTTATGTTGGTCCTGGAGGCCAAGTTTGTTGTTTTTGCTTTCCTTGATTAAATTTGAAATCTGATAGCTTTTTTTTTTTCCCCCAGCAATATGATTTGCATTAATATTTGAAATTGGGTGCTAATCTTCTGCATTCATTAGAAAAATCTATTAAAATAGCTGCAAATGTTGCAGCCGTTAATTGAGCTGTGTGTGTGACCTCCCTTCTCAGCAAGAAGCTAAAGCCTTATCCCTAAGTGCTAGCATTAAAACTAATGCTGTTCCTCCATTTATTTGATGAAATTTCAATCGCTGTTGAAATTGCTTGTGTTGTCAGCTGCATTTGTAGAAAGGTAAGCTTGTTTTGCATATATACAATGCTGAAAAGTAATTATCCACTTTCAGTATAAATACAGTTAACTTTTTATCTTCTTTCCTCTCTTTTTTCGAACGGCCAAAGGGATAAAACAAAGCACGCTGTTTAAAATTGGCTTATCTGCAGTTACTTTACTGTCAGTGGGGGTGCATGGTAGTGACAAATTCTCGAACCCTGCGGCCATATCCCTGTTTAAATGGAAACTGGGTTATTAAAGGCGGCAGTTCAGCTCGACTTGTTCTCCATTTGCCAGTCATTCTACTACTTGTGTTTGGTTGGAAGTTAACGAGGGAAGGGTTTCAAACCTTCAAGGCAAAATTTCAGAATTGAGATTTCACTTGACGCTCAGACCTGGCTTTCTTACCTGCTTTCTTAATTCAAATCTACCTAAAGATCCATTTAAACAATATTTAATTTGGCCACCTCATGCATCACGTGTAGCTGGAAGAGAAATGTTGCTTCAGAGCTGCCTAGTAGTCACAAACCTAGCAGTCATTTCCTTCAGTAAGATTCTGATTAATAATCTGTTTGGAGACCAGGATATTAGCAGATTCATGGTAGTGTTTATACCTCTTGACAGTTAAACACATTTTTTTGGGGGTTACAATTGAAATGTTTGCTGTGGTGATAGAGAAGAATCTTTGGCTATAAGTGTTTTGCTTGTGAGCTTTTAATGAATATGCTTGTAGTAGGATGCACCATTGTTTTTCTCTCTCATTAGCCATACAGTGGCTGGATTTGGTTTTCAGTTGTGCTGTTCAGTATTTCTGTATGTATTTGGCAGTATCTCATTTGCTTGAGCATCCCCACAAGTCCTGTGTGACAACTGTCTTGTTCCTGCCGTTTAATGCTATAATTAAAAATCACGACCATTAGAAAAATAGCTTGTAATCACTTTCTGTTTTAGATGAAACAAAATCATTGCCGTGCCTATAGATATTGTCTCTTCCCTAAAGATATCTGACTGGCAAAAAAAAAACATGTAAGTTTAGATGACCTGAAGCCACCCAGTAATAAAACCCCCCATGTTTCTGAGTCGCCATGCTGTAGCACAGCACGTTTTTGTGCCCTTAGCAGTGACTGGTGGGCACCAGGCAGAGCTTCCTCAGCACGGCTCAGGCATGGCATGCAAACACGAGGGAGGACTTTGGACACAGTTTGTCAAGTGCCTGGGTATGTTCTGCTCTTAATAGTGCCCGTGATCGATGCTGGTCTGTTGGCTTTGCATCGTCAGTTCTGACTTTGTGTTAATGTCTGACCTGGTTTTTGAGCCTTCATTAAGACTAAACCAAGGTTTTTGAAGAGCCTTAAATTTTCACCTTCCATACTGTATGTTTTACTAAAGGCTACTGAGGTTTTTGTTTCTCCTGAACTTTTGAGATTAAGGTGTTTGGTTTTGTGTTTTTAGACATTGCAAACATAAAATTCAAAGGAAGGATTGTCTGGCTAAATGACCACAAAATGTTTTGGGTTCAAGATCATACTATTTTACTACTAGTGCCATCATTTTCCTTATGATTTAAGAGACTATGACTTGTTTTGTACTGAGTTTCTCTTCTCTGGTATCAAGGGCTAATTCACTGTGCGATTTTGGCACCAATATACCAATTAAACAGCATATATACACAGTTGCTTCATGTATTTAGTGGCTGCCTGTTTAATCAGCTAACTCTATAAAACTGGCACTCGCTAATGATGCTGCAGTAATATCTGGTTTGACTGAATTTTGTTTCGTTTTACTGATGGTCTATTAAAAAAAATTAGAAATGAAATATGCTGGAGAAAATCATGCTCCTCATTGTTTTCATATACACTGAGGAATTGCTTCCTGTTGCTGAATGCTTCGTTTATTCTTTGTTTCCCATTATAGCTACCATGAGACAAGAATCCAGTTTACATCTAGTGCCCATTAATGAAAGAAAATATTTTACATGAGTTGAAATATTCACTTAAAGATGCCTATTTAGTGAAAATTAGCTCTGATTTGAGTTAACAGTTATGTCTCTGGATGTTTTGCCTGTTTTTCTAATGTTTAAAGATAAGGAGTGAGAATAAGCCTAGCTATGATGTGTTTAAAAAAAAGTGTAGTTAGAAATGGATCAGTGGAATTGATGTGTTCGGTGCCAGAGCTGTTGCACTTCTGTATTTGGGATATACCCCTAAATGTCATTAAGCGTATCTAAAATAGCATGACAGATAGCTGGTAACTCTTTAGCTAGCTTATTAACGAAGGTTACAGACAGTGCTGACAATGAGCAAATGATTTCCTGATCATCTTGAGTATTGCAAGGAAGAAGTGCTAGTGGGCAGGCCCTATGGGCAAGGAGATGTTCTCTCAGTAAACTGTTAAACTCGAGGACGTGTTTGATGTCCCAAACCAGTCTAATGGCAGCAGCAGTTATTAAATTAAACAAATCCTTCACTACCTACAGGTTTCAGCGTACAGACAGCAGTCCAAGTGAGCAGAGAGAAACAGACAGAGTAATCTGCTGAAACAATATCCTATGGAGCATAAGCCTGCAGAGCAATGTTCTTCCTAATTCCTTCTTATGTAGCACTTAAACGCCTGAGGAAGGTCCCAGTTCTGACAAGTCAAAATTCCTCTGTTCCACAAGTGGGTACTTGAGAGTATGAACAGTATCTCTTCTGAATTACTGTGTGTACATTCTGAAATACCTTCAGCTTTCATACTGAGTATGAAATCATAAAAACATGATCTGCTAGTTGCATCTTGGTTTGAGATATCATTTCTTTTATCAAAATAACTATACAAATCATAGCTCTAGGAGTACTGCCATACGCTGTTCAAATACAAGTCTCAAATCCTCTAGTGGTTTAAATTTTAATGATCCATAAAGAGAATAATTCAGAGTAGATCTTACACA